CCGCCCCACTCTTCCTGGTCTAGCGCCAGCTCTTTTTAACTTCTTCCCTACATTATTGCAACTGCTTCCTGTTAGCTCCAACTCCAATACCCAATCTAGACGTTACATACCTCTGGTGTTCTCTTTAAAAAAATGCAAGTCAAATCAGTCATGCATTGCCTCAAAAATCTAAACAACCACTCGGGAGGGATTAAATTATTCCAGCTCCTCACCACGGCACCCAAGACCTCCATGGTTTAGACACACCTGATTTTTCAACTCTGTCTTTTACCACCTTTCGACGTGAACCCAGGACTCCAGGTACACGCAGTACCGGGCTGTAGTTCTCAAGCTGGTGTCTGCGGTCTGGATCACGTTGTTCCTTCAATCTGCAGTGCTTTTCTCCTGTTGTCTCCAGCAACCTGAGGCTTTCTCACCCTTGAGGGCTCCTCTGAAAACTTTGCCCGATTTCTCAGTTGGAATGAACTGTTTCTGAACTGTGCTTATCCCTCAACAAACAATATTATCTCATCGCCTTGTGTTATTAGCTAGTAGTTTACATGTCAGTCTCTCCTAGACTGAAAGGTCCACAAGGGGAGAATCGTAGTATCACGAACAAACCACGTGGAATTTGTCAGTGGACAGACAGTTGAAGTGCAAAGTATACCACTTAGTGGCTATTATTAATCTTGAACATCTCACTCAACTTTCTTGAGCGTCAAATTTACTGATCGGTTAAGGGTAGCACCAACAACCTCACAGAGTTGTTATGAGGATCAAATATCACTACATAGATAAAATGTCTGGCACGTAGTAGGTGCTCAGTAAATACTATGTTCGCTTCTGTAGCTCTACGACATCTGGCATGGTATTTGTAGGTAGGAGGCACTTCTTCAGCATTTGCTAACTCAGTCAACATGCCCTATTTATGATTTAAAAAACTCTTCTTTAACAATTTGTTTTAACACTTATTCATTTTTGAGAGAGAGAGAGAGAGAGAGAGAGAGAGAGAGAGAGACAGAGCGCAAGTGAGGTAAGGGCAGAGAAAGAAAGGGAGACACAGAATCGGAAGCAGGCTCCAGGCTCTGAGATGTCAGCACAGACCCGACGCGGGGCTCAAACCCACAAACTGGGAGATCATGACCTGAGCTGAAGTCAGACGCTTAACTGACTGAGCCACCCAGGCGCCCCTGTGATTTAAAAAATTCTTAAAGTCATACTCACTGGTTTGGAACCATGCAAGAGGGCAGGGAGGCTTTGCCAAACAGCTTTATCACGACATCTATTATTATGTTTTACAATAATCCATGATTGGTTGCGAGAAAGCAATTACTCTCTCTTGAAATGGAATATTTATCACCATGGTCTTTACACAGCTTGATGCAGGAGAGTGAGTATTCTTACCCCGGTTTTATTCCTTTTAATATTGTTCCTGAAGCACAGATCAGCAGTGCTAGTTTTGCCTACAATAATGGTGTCCATAATACTTAGTTTGAAAATGGAAAAAAGTCCTTTTTAAATTGGCACACAGGGGCACCTGAGTGGCTCAGTGGGTTAAGCGTCCGACGTCAGGTCAGGTCATGATCTCGTGGTTCGTAAGTTCAAGCCCCGCATCGGGCTCTGTGCTGACAGCTCAGAGCCTGGAGCCTGCCTTGGAGTCTGTGTCTCCCTCTCTTTCTGTCCCTCCCCAACTCGCACTCCATCTCTCTCTGTCCCTCTCTCTTTCTCTCTCTCAAAAATAAACATTAAATTGGCATACAAAGCAAAAACTAAAACATGGGTAAGCTTTACTATGACCAAGATTGGGAATGTCAGCTCAGTCACCTACAAGCTATGCTCCCTGGGCAAATAATCTAACCCCTTTGGGGCTCAGTTTTTCTGTCTAGTAGCACAGGGAGTACCTGGTAGTAGATGCTCAATTAATTAATTCCCTGTCTCCATCCTTCATTACGGTTACAAAAGCACCCGTCATAGGTACTCCTCCATTATGAAGCATTTCAATAATTAAAAACTAAAGCCAGTTATCAAAATAAAAGAACACAATAAAAGCCATTTCTCCAGTCTCCTGGAGTCTGTGTCACAATTTTTTTCCCCAATTAGAGTTTTTCGCTAATCTACAAAGTTCAGAAATTCTCTACGGGACCTCCCAGCCATAGTGCGGATCAGTGAGGCTCCACTTAATTGAAAAACTGGATTTAATATGGAAACAATAGTTATTGTGCCTTCAGAGAGACCATTTTCCATGCTAATTTATTCTCCAATGTGTTCTTTGTGTAAAAAGAATGTACAAGTATGCTTTTTTATATGCCTGTAGTGATTCTTGGTGGGCACATTTTTCAACATGCTTTACGATCATTTAAGTTGGTGCATCTTTACATATTTATGCATGTTTAAACCATTATTGTGTATGTGTCTGTGGGTAAGAAAAATCCTATTTTAACAAGCTCCATAGAGAAATAAAGAATTTTCATTGTACTGAAATTTGGTTGTAAAAATGACATTATTGAATACCCATTCCCAGACAGTGAAAAGCTAGTGCCCAATCATTAAGCTGTTGCGGCTGAATTCCCCTACATCCCTCCAGTCTACTTATGGCCACAAGCACCTGCAAACAGACTTGGAGAAAATCTGAACATAAAGTGATAAATCAGTACACAAAATGGCGAAGGGCAAAGCCTGACCTTGACCCTCAGACTCGGGTTCGCTATTTGATACTCTGATGGCTAGTATTTGACTTTCTTTCAAGCCTGGCTTCTTGATCCTTTCTCTGCCTAAGCTTGGGCTCTGCCTGATTCTTTATCTTGCATCTTCTTTTGAGATTAGCCAGCGTGACTTCTCAGATCCAGGAACCTCTACAAGAAGTCCCTTCCGCTTGACTCACAGGCCTTTGTGGTACCTGCTTCCTTTCTTCTTCCTTAGTCCTCTTTCTGCTTTTCTCATCTAGCCTTATTTTTCATTCTCTGTTTTCTTTCTTTCTTTCTTTCTTTCTTTCTTTCTTTCTTTCTTTCTTTCTTAGTTTTTATTTTAATCACCCCATGCTCACTACGACAAGTGCATTCCTTAATCTCCATCACCCATTTCACCAAAAGCACATTGAGTGGGTAAGGTTTTATTTGATGACGGTAATGGCAACCAAGAAAGAAAGAGGGAGGGTGTTTCTTGCTGCTGTGCAGATGTGCAGACACGTGTTGGTGTGTCGGCTGACCTCTCAGAGGAGCGTTCAGTGGAGAAGGGGGAGAGGAGGAAAGGGGCACCCCTGCTATGTAACTTCTTTCCTGATTTAAGCACATTGTGTCTCATCTGAGGAGGTCCTTGCTTTCTGTCTCTATGAAAGGAAGTTTTCCAACAATGTGGCCTAAGCAATCTTGTGCCTGAGTGAATTTTTAGCCACTGTGGAAACTTCTGATCACAAAAGCTCCCGTCAAGCAACCTTCTTATCTAGACTTTCTTTTTTCTTTATTTTCAAATGTTTTTATTATTTATTTTTGAGAGAGAGAGAGAGAATGAGTGGGGAAGGGCAGAGACTGAGGAAGACACAGAATCCGAAGCAGGCTCCAGGCTCCGAGCTGACAGCACAGAGCCCGACGTGGAGCTCAAACTCGCAAACCACAAGATCATGACCTCAGTCAAAGTCGGACACTTAACCGACTGAGCCACCCAGGTGCCCCTAGACTCTCAGTTGATGGTGGAAGGCTGCAGATATTTTTGACTATTTTACAAATTTTGTTGAATTTTCATCTGTAAGACATGACTAGATACTTGCCCAAATTGAAGGTGCAATCATCAAGTAGACTAAATGATCGTGCAAGTTCCTTAAAAATTCAAGTTTCAATGATGCTATTGGGGGCTCACAACACAAAAACGCTTACCAGCACACACACACAAGATACTTGTTTTGCTGTTATGCGCACACCAATTCCTAGAAACTCTGACGAATAAAGCTTTACAGTCATTCCTCCCCCATGTCACTCCTTCCCCAGTTCCTACCAAATGTCTCAGTCTTGTTTCCTCTTACTTCCAATAAAGGCTGAAAACTCAGAGTTCATTTTGGGACAACAAAACAAAACAAAACAAAACAAAAACAAAAACAAAACAAAAAAACAGTTCTTGAGGTTCTACTTTGAGTCTGGTACCAATATCTGAAGACACAGAGATAAATAATTTGGGATTCCTCCCATCAATGAGCTTATAGTTGATCCCATAAAACAAATAATGGCCTCACGTTATAGTTATTTGATATCAGATAACATCAAAGGACAAGTTGACTCAGCCTGGAGGAGGTGTGGAATGAGGGCATCAGAGAAGGACTGCTGGAGCAGGTGATGTTAGAGCTGAGAGTAGGTCCATCTAGAAATGGATGAAGCTAAAGCTGCCACTACTCAAAAGTGGGGAAAAACTGGGGCTAGATGAATGCTACCAAACACCCTGACACTGTATTAATGGATTTTAATTGTCCTCAATTACAGGGATGTGGCCGATGTCCTCTATTCTTTTGTTTTAATCTTTATTTTCCGTAGGCTCCATGCCCAATGTGAGTCCAAACTCACAGCTCTGAGGCCAGGAGTCACATGCTTTACCAACTGAGGTGGCCGGGTGACCCGATCTCTTCTATTCTTAAAGGACCATGTGAGGGATTCTGATAATAACCCCTTCCCCAAAAGATGAAAATTGGAACTAACACACTGGCAGTGGGTGGAGAGGTAGAGATGGATGAGAGAAATCTATCAAGTAGATTCAGTAAGACCCGCGGACATTAGACGGAAAAAAAAGGGCTGGGGATGACTTCAGAGATTCTAATTAAAGTGGTTTTGTGAAAGTCTGGGAGGAAATATTCCAAATGTCTTATGGATTGTGGACATGGGGACTTGAAAATGCTGATGGGGGGTGCCTGGGTGACTCAGTCGGGTGAGCATCTGACTCTTGATTTTGCGTCAGGTCATGATCCCAGGGTCATGGGATCAAGCCCCCGTGTCAGGCTCTGCATGGAGTATGGAGCGGGCTTGTGATTCTCTCTCTTTGCCCCTCCCCTACTCATGAGTACATGCTCTCTCACTCCCTCCAATTATAAATAAATAAATAAATAAATAAATAAATAAAATAAATGCTGAGACACACATATGTAGTGATGTCAGGTACAGAGGTGGGCACTTAAGGTTGAGCTGGAGAATATTTAGGAGCCAAAGAATAAGTGGTATGTGAAAACACAGCAGATTTATAGAGTTGGTCTCTCTCTCTCTTTCTCAACATAGATTAGGAAGATGAAAGCAAAGAAAACCATAATTATGACCTCTTCTTTCGAAATCTATCCATCCCAGGGAATAAACTTGTAACTGGATCTACAGAGTTTAGTCTGAGTTATTTCCCAAGATTCACAAATAATTCTGTTTCAATAGTTTTCATTTCCTTATTACAGAGCGATCTCACATCTCCATTTGATCTCTAAATATATGAATATCAATAAATCTATATCTATGATGTATACAATATGTAATAGCAGAAGTTCTGAGCTTTTGGGGTGCCTGGGTGGCGCAGTCGGTTAAGCGTCCGACTTCAGCCAGGTCACGATCTCGCGGTCCGTGAGTTCGAGCCCCGCGTCAGGCTCTGGGCTGATGGCTCAGAGCCTGGAGCCTGTTTCCGACTCTGTGTCTCCCTCTCTCTCTGCCCCTCCCCCGTTCATGCTCTGTCTCTCTCTGTCCCAAAAATAAATAAACATTGAAAAAAAAAATTAAAAAAAAAAAAAAAAAAAAGAAGTTCTGAGCTTTTGATTTCAAAAACAAACACATAATCTGCTAAAAGTGGTATGGTGTTCTACTCAGAAACAGGTCTGTTTGAATAGATACAACAGAAGATTTAAAGCAAACCCTATTAGTTATTGCCGTTTCAGATTATCAAGTCAGCCAAGGTCTCAAGCAAAAATGTAAACTAGAAATGGCATATTGATGAAAAGAGGGTGTTGTTATGTTTAAGGGAATTGATTTCTTATTCAATAAGCAGATGAATTAGGAAATTTCTAAAAAAAAAAGAAAGAAAGAAAGAAAGAAAGAAAGAAAGAAAGAAAGAAAGAAAGAAAGGAAATTTCTCATTCATTTTCCATTCCCTCTTAACAGGGGTCACCTACTTCCTTCAGTTTCTGGGCTCTCTGACATCATTCTTCTTGATTATCCATTTTTGTTACAAACAGATGAATAGCTCAATCACCTATGCAGTGGCTAGTGTAAGTGACTGTGGCATTACAAGAACACATTATATAACCAATAGGGACACACGCTTTAAGAAATCATTCTAAAATTTTTCTTTATTTTTTTAAATTTTTTTTTTTTAACGTCTATCTATTTTTGAGACAGAGAGAGACAGAGCATGAACGGGGGAGGGAGGGTCAGAGAGAGGGAGACACAGAATCTGAAACAGGCTCCAGGCTCTGAGCTGTCAGCACAGAGCCCGACGCGGGGCTCGAACTCACGGACCGCGAGATCATGACCTGAGCCGAAGTCGGCCACTCAACCGACTGAACCAGCCAGGCGCCCCTTCTTTATTCACTTTTGACAGAGTGCAAGCATGAGCTGGGGAGGTACAGAGAGAGACAGGGAGACACAGAATCCAAAGCAGGCTCCAGGCTCCAGGCTCCAAGCACAGAGCCTGATGCGGGGCTCGAACTCACGAACCGTGAGATCATGAACTGGGCAGAAGTCGGATGCCTAACCGACTGAGCCACCCAGGCGCCCCTTTAAGAAATCATTCTAGAGCTGGTTCCAGATTTGCTAGGTCTCTACACATGCTACCTTCCAAGATAATAAGGAGAAAATACTCATCAAAAAGAACCATGTATAGTAAGTGATCTCTTATTTTCAGCTGTCTTTTTCTACCCCTACCATCAACCATCCTCTCCTTGCATGGAGTCTACCCTATAAACTATACTTTATAGTTTTTCAGATCCTACACTAACTCCATTTTCTGTAATTTCTTTATAAGAATGCCTCCTTAAGCCTATTTCTTCATCCTATATCCTTAAATGATACACTCGAGTGGTAGTAAAACTCTTAGTTCTTCAAAACCAATAATAAATAATAGCTAATTTATCTACTGAGTACTTACCATGTGCCAGAAAGTTCTCAGTAGGTTGTTTATGTAGTTATGTAATTATCTCACTTACCCTCACAATTTCTCTGTAAGGAAGTTGTATTATTATCTATTTTACAGATAAGGAAACTGAGGCACAGGTCAATCAGTTAGGGTCAAGGACAGGAGAGAAACATAAAGCAATGTAGCTTCAGAGACCATACCTCAACTGCCATACATAAGAGTCAGTGTTCTCTTGAGTGTTATGAAGTCAGCAAATTTGGGGAGGCATTTTATATAAAAGGACCCACGGTTGAATGACCTTGGAAATGCTACATACACAGAAATTTATAAAACTTCTCAGCAAAGTAAATGGCAGAGAAGGCATGTTGCAAACAAGTTGACTTAATTTTGCTAAATCCTTTGCTTCTCAAACTTTCGATCTTAAAACCTGTTTTCGTGTATTTTCTTACAACACCACCCAGAACCAGTATCTGTGGACAAGACTTGGCGAAAGTATTCAGAGATGGTCTCTTACCTGTGGCACTGAGAGATTTGGAGGTTCATGGCTATCCCACAGGACAAATTCAAAAGAGTCTTCAAAGATCTCTCCACCAAAGTGACGATAGTGAATGATGCCATTAAATAGATCCCTCTGAAGGAAGCCAGGGACAGGATAGCCTGTTGGGTCCACAAAATACCACATACTTTTGTAACGATCTTCCAAGTGTTGGGGCATAAAGATATTGGACTTATCTCCAAAGTATTCTCTGCCTAGTATATTGTATGCAGCCAAGGAGTCTTCATTAGATACTTTCATCAAAGCTTATAAATAATAAGCAGAAAATTTTAAGTTGCTACCCCTGTCTTACCATACATAGAAAAATGAGCATTACAAAAATATCTTTAGGACACATAGTCTTAACTAAACTGCTTCTTCCCTCTTTTGTTACTCCTGACTACTTTAAGAAATAGTTATGAAATTATTTTCATAAAGCATAAACAAACGTCATTCATGAAATTACTTTATAAACAATTTAGCATTAGGCCAAATATTCCTCTTCAAACTTACTTGTTCTATCATCCTGCTTGGCCGACATAATTTTTCACAATGTAATGGTTACCTTGACACAGAGCTCTGGAATTTTTTGCTTGCACGATCTTGGATAGATTAGTTTAACTTATTCTTTTTTTTTTTTTTTTTTTTTTTTTTTTTTAATTTTTTTTTTCAACGTTTATTTATTTTTGGGACAGAGAGAGACAGAGCATGAACGGGGGAGGGGCAGAGAGAGAGGGAGACACAGAATCGGAAACAGGCTCCAGGCTCTGAGCCATCAGCCCAGAGCCCGACGCGGGGCTCGAACTCACGGACTGCGAGATCGTGACCTGGCTGAAGTCGGATGCTTAACCGACTGCGCCACCCAGGCGCCCCTAGTTTAACTTATTCTAAGTGTCAGGCTTCCCATCCACAAAATGGGAATGATAATAGTATCTCACCTCATAAACTTGATGTCCACCCTTGCACAAATTCTGACATCAGCGATCATAACTATTCAGAACTTACCTATCAGCCCTGGCCCTGGCTTCTTCATGATCTCTCCGGCCTGAGGGGGTTTTGTGATATTAAAGAAGATGTAGTCATCACTGGAGTCCATATCTGATGCTCTCAGCATGGAACCCTGGATCAGTATGGTCTGTCCCTCCTCCAGTTCAATTACTACATTGTTTATGAGGAACGGGGGACTGTCATCTTTGGGCAAAATGTTGATGGGAAACTTATGGCGGATGCTGTGATGGCCATCGAATATCCTGAAGACCACAAAGTCTTTGGTGGAGTCACTGTCATCATGATGATAGCGAACAACTCCAGCCTGAAGGTCAGCCACAGTGAAGAGAAATCCTTTCCCCCCTGATGGAGAGAACAGAGATGGGGCTGACTGAACGAGGGGTGCAGAGGGAGCAGCTGCAGCAAAAGCAGCCGTAGAAGAAAGGGCATGAAGGAAATGGGCCAGCTGATACCTGCCTCACCTAGACAAACAATCTTGTTTAGTGGGCTCTGGGCCACCACAGAACTGGTTTTGAATAGGGGCTGCAACACTTACTGGCTGTGTGGACTTGGGCAAGGCACTTCATTCATTTGAGACTCATCTATAAAACAGGGATAATAAGACCCACCTCATATTCCCTAGGAAGGATGAGAGAACGTAAAGAACAGTAAGCTGACAAAAAGTGTTAATTACCATTCAACATGGCAGCACTTCCCTGAGGAGCAGGCTTGAGCCAGGAGCATCAGTACCACTTGTGAAGTCGTTGGAAATGCAAGTTCTCTGGCCCTCCCCCCAGACCCACTGAGTAGAAGTCCTGGAGGTGAGAAGTCCTGGAGGTGAGGTTTTATCAAACCTCCAGGAGAGTCTAACACACGCTAAAGTTTGAGAATCACTGGCTTATTGCCCAAGAGCTACAGCTCTGCTACCAAATGGCCTAGGTATTTGGGTTCAAATTCCGGTTCGGCCACTTTCTAGGTACATACACAAGTCAACTTCTCTAAATTCCAGGTTCCCCATTTGTAAAGTGGGAATAATAATAGTACTACATTTCATAAAGCTGATATAATGTAGAAAGCTTTGTACAGTATCTGGCACAAATCATAAATGCTATGATCTTCTACCTCCTCTGCACTAGAACGTCATTATGGGCTATCACTCTTCTCTTGATTTCCACATTGCTTCACTCTGTATAAGCGATTACAATTCTTGATGGCCGATTTCCCTGTACTCTCCCCACACTATGGTTCTATCAAAGCCCACTGGAATAAATGATTAAACATTTGTACAATGGACATCACAGTTCACTCGCCCAATAGCCACTTTCTGCTTCTTCGCCAGTACCACAATCCTAGTGTTATTTGGAATGGTAATATGACCATTTGAAAATACTCAGTTTCCCAGACCCCACTGCATCCAGGGGGTAGTATGTGACTTGGTGGATATAAGTGGAACCCACTGTATCAGGTTCCTGGGGAAAGTTGTTAAAGAAAACAAATGAAGCGACGTAACTTTTTTCATCATCCCTTCTCTTTCTTCCTTCCCGGGATGCAGACCGGAAGTCTGAAGGTATAGGTGCTATCGTGAGACCACTGTCAGGACAGAATGAGCTGCTGGCATCATGGATCTGGAATACCTACCTCTGGGCAACTTATCACGTGAGGAAAATTACTCTTGAGTTTCTAAGTCACTGTAGTTGGGTTTTCCTTACATGCAGCTGAACATCTCCTACTCTCCTAGGATGACTTCACTTTTCAGTTCAGAATTCCTAATCACAAATGATAATAAAAAAGAGCTCTCTTTCTGCTTTATAGTTAGGAACACCAAGAGGATAATTCAATTAAATCCTCTGAGCTCATTATACGGAATGGACTATGTTATGTGATAGCAGGATTATTTTTATTAGGGATATTGCCTTGTTAACTACTCCTCTTATAGTTATACTATAATTAACATAATAACATAATTATACTAATAACATAATGATTACCAAGTATTTAAAAAACTAAGTTTTTCTGTTCTTTAATACATTCCTCTGAATCAGAGAAACGAGAGGGAAATATTTTGTCTTCCCACTGGGATAAGCTCATCAGTTAAAGAGTATGTTTAGAAGGAGTCCTACATGGCATGTGAGATTTAAATAATGAGCCAAGCACAAGATGCTGCCTGTGAATTGTCATCCACTGATGGGAGCACCCTAACACAAAAACAAATGGTTTCAAGAACTCCACACTTTCCGGATATGACAATTCGCTTAGAAATGAGGCCCAGGAGGGGCACCTGGGTGGCTCAGTCAGTTAAGTGTCCGGTATTGGTCCAATTCATGATCTCATAGTTCATGGGTTCAAGCCCCACGTCGGGCTCTGGGCTGACGGCTCAGAGCCCGGAGCCTGCTTCGGATTCTGTGTCTCCCTCTCTCTCTGCCCCTCCCTCGCTCACGCTCTGTCTCTCTCCCTGTCTCAAAAATGAAGTAAATAAGTATTTTTTAAAATTTTTTAAAAAAGAAATGGGGCCCAAGAGATGCTATGTGTATCCTGTTAAATATGATCTGCTTTTGGAGAAAAGACTCTTGGGTTCTCTTCTAGGTCAGAGGTTGATCTTTCACCTCTTACTGTAAGCTGTCCATGCTGCAGGCCACCCACGGTGACCAGCTGGACAGCACGGATGTCATCATTGTCAACAATCTGAAACTGTTCCCAAGTGATGGCCCGAGACTGCCCCTCCAGAAGATTCAGACCTACAAGAGAAAACAGAAAAGTGTCCTAGAAAGTTCTATGACGTGCCAACCTGCCCACTTGAAGACCAGATTAATGAATTTTCACTCACAAAACTAGCTGAAAATTGTATCTTTGAAAGCTTTTTAAGAAACTGGAGTTTAGCTTTTATTTTTAGTAACATTTCCGCATCTAATACTATTAACCCCAGTCTGATAACTGGTTCCTTGTGATATATATCAGTTGGAGGCACGGTGGTGCCAGAAAAGAAACCCGTAAGGAAAGAATAGGTGTTATGCTCACAGGGGTCTCTCATTCAAAAATGTCCACAAGGCATTTTTCAAAGGTGACATCCAGATATCTGAAGTGAGCAAGAGAATCAGAAGAGCTTTTCCATATAAGCTATGAGTGCAACAGTAGCCCACAGGACAGAGAATGTAACATGGCTACGTGTGCAAATACAGAGCTACGGTGTTAGGGGAGTGGTTAATGGTCTTGAACATGAAATGTCTGACACTTCAAAATGAGGGCTGAATTTTATTCCAGGCTCGAGGAAAGAAGGAACTTCTGTAACTAAAGGAACTGAAATAAAACCTTCTCCTTGGACCCAGTATGCTAGAGGAAATCTGGGGAGAGGGGGTTAAGTGCTGCTTAGAGCAGCAAGATACAGATTCGGATGGAACACTCCAGTTAGAAACAGGGAGCTGAGCATCATCAAGCGTTCCCATTACTCAGTGGATCCGAGAGCTGACAGATTGCCAAGAATCTTGAGAGGGAACAAAGCTTTTTAAGGTTTTAAGTTGATAAAACTTAAAGGTGATGTCCTGGCAGACCCACTTACATTTCCCCTTAAACCTGCCCAGCTTCCCCTGCCTCCCTGGCTATGACCGTGTGCCTGCCTTCTCGCCGCAGCAGCCCATAAGGGTCCCCGCAATTGTAAAGTCCCGGCTGCCACCACTGTCTCATCTTCTGATAAGGCTGGTTACGTCAATCGTCCTCTTGGGCAAGGGCCAGGTTTTGGCATGACCTCCCTTGTGACCGTGGCCGGGTCCTATACCATGGGACCCCGGAAGTTTGTAGCAGCTACAAAGAAGGACCAGGCAGCACATCATGGACATGTGGGGAGTTGACATCCAGTGAGGCAAACTGACCACAGTGAGACGGGAGATGGGGAGGAGCTGAGAGAGAGACTACTCACCCTTTCCCCAGCCCACCTCTGGCCCTTCCCACACACGGTGCTTCCATTTCCTCCTGGAAACACCAGCCTGACTGAACAAACAACTTCATTTTCTGATAAACTCAGTCACCCTCCCTTTTTATTTGTTCCCCCACAACTTCCTTTCCCTGTTACTCCTGTTTTCAGTATAGGGTTAGTGCCTATGACCTGCCTCAGGGGCTGTTTGCTAGGGAACCTGGAATAAGACATACACTATGATGAAAGGATGGATGGATATGAGGGATGGATGGATGGAAGAAAGGAAGGAAAGAAGGGAGGGAGGGAGGAAGAAAGAAAGAAAGAAAGAAAGAAAGAAAGAAAGAAAGAGAAAGAAAAAGAGAGAGGGGGAGGGTAGAAAGGGAGGAGGGGGGAGACGGGGAAGAAAGAAGGGAGGGAAGGAGGGAGGGAGGACAAGCACATATAATCTCTGCGACTCATAAAAGGGTTTTGAAGCCCAGAGTGTGTGCTACACATAGGACAAGGCATCACGGGACACAGAGCAAGCAAGAAGAGAAGTGTATTATAACAAGATATTAACAGTGATTCTGTCTTTGCGGTGGAGTAATGAATGATTTCATTCATTCATTACTATTTCATTCATTCATCCATTATGATTTCATTCATTTCTATCCATTCACTATTATTATTATTATTATTATTATTATCCATTAATTCAATTTATTCTGTCTGATACACTTTCCAAGTTTTCAATGATGAACCTATATTAAGCCATAATAAGTAAAATTCCATTTAAAAAAAAGATTCTGATGTCCAAAGTAGCCAGAACCAGATTTGGAGCTCTCTTAACAAGCCTGGATTTCACAGATCACACAGACTATGAATAATCTGTGCTCAAGCCATAATCCACTTAGTATATGATTATTATAAAGTTCAGGTTGCCAATTCTTTCTTTTCTTTTATTATCCCTCTAGCAGAGGTAGAGTGGGACATCTCCAATGTTCTCCATCATGACCCAAACTCACACACATACAAACACATGTGTGTGTGTACCTGCATGCAAAGGCGTGCACACACACACACACACAGTATAAGCCACCACCTGAGGATTTAAATCAGACGGAAATATTTTCCCTACCACCAGCCTACCACCACTGCTTATAAGTAGGTCTTGACTGCTATCAATAGAATCAGCGGGAAAGGGGAAAATCTTCATTCACCTTCCACATTTACATCTGATCTAAATATATACCTTGCATCATAAGACCACTCGGAAGTGACCTTCTTTTAAAACAAATAAAGCGGGGCGCCTGGGTGGCGCAGTCGGTTAAGCGTCCGACTTCAGCCAGGTCACGATCTCGCGGTCCGGGAGTTCGAGCCCCGCGTCAGGCTCTGGGCTGATGGCTCGGAGCCTGGAGCCTGTTTCCGATTCTGTGTCTCCCTCTCTCTCTGCCCCTCCCCCGTTCATGCTCTGTCTCTCTCTGTCCAAAAATAAATAAATGTTGAAAAAAAAAAAAAATTAAAAAAAAAACAAAAAAAAAAAACAAATAAAGCAGTTTAAGCTCTTATTCGTGTATTATGGCTTCCCTGCATGTCCCCACAACAGGACAATGAATTGGTCTCCATTTTCCTTCCCTTTCTCTGAACGGTTCGAATTAGAGACCTTTTCCGTCTCAGTCCAACTGTAGCTCAAAATCACAAATAGTTACTTTTTTGCCGCATTCAGTTGAAAGGTGTCCTTTTGGCTTATTTCCTACAGAGGAGAAAAAAAAAACGTGGCTTCACAGCACAGGAGTCCTGGTTTCAAATTTCTCACCCCGCAGGCAGGAAAAACAAAACAAAACAGAAACAACTATCTGATACCATTAACTTGGCTGGGTTTCGGTTGCCTCATGTGTGAAATGGGAAGAAAACGACCTTTCTTTCCCGACCCATGCACTTTCCTGTCTTCCCTTCAGGGCTGTGCTGCTTAATGCCTTACGCTGAACTTCACCTGTGTTCCAGGACACTCGCGGGGCATTCGTATCCGCTGTTCTGATGGAGATGTGGACTGTAATGGGTGCGCTCCTCTCAAAGAAGAAGTCGTAAGCCTCCACCTCCACCTGTAAACAAACAGTTGCATAGGAATCACACGTTGATAATTTATAGCTACAAAATACCATTATTCCCGGGGTATACATCACACCTGGAGGCAAAACAGATATAGGTTCAGCCGTCGCCTGATCTCATTTTTTGACAACCTCATCTCACTTTTTCAGGCTCTAGATCTTGTTCCTCAGTTAACAGTATTTTAAAATTTTCGTCTCCATACAACAAGTTCATAACCGGAAGTAAGCAGATACGCTGGAGAAGCGTCCCTGCATTTGATCAGGAGACTATGTCAGAGCAGCATGAGAACACTCGAGCTTCTCTCAAAGGCACAGGGTCTAGAGCTGTAGATTTTAAATGAGGGAGACTTAGTTCCCCCAGGGGACATGTGGGAATGTCTGGAGACATTTTTGGGCTCACAAATGTGTGTGCGTGTGATGAGGGGTCCTACCTGGACAGAGGCCAGGGATGCTGCCACATACTATCACGCACAGGACAGCCCCCACGACAAAGAATTATCTAGTGCAAAATGTCAGGGGTGCTGCTTTTAAAAGACCCTGGTCTAGAGGCATATATCTCTCCAGACATTTTTTTTTTAATTTTTTTTTTCAACGTTTTTTATTTATTTTTGGGACAGAGAGAGACAGAGCATGAACGGGGGAGGGGCAGAGAGAGAGGGAGACACAGAATCGGAAGCAGGCTCCAGGCTCTGAGCCATCAGCCCAGAGCCCGATGCGGGGCTCGAACTCACGGACCGCGAGATCGTGACCTGGCTGAAGTCGGACGCTTAACCGACTGCGCCACCCAGGCGCCCCCAGACATATTTTTAAATGTCCAGATTTTATTTGCATCCATGAAATCCATAGCTAATAAATGGGGTTATAAGATATGTGTTGAGCCTTATTATGTGTCGTTCATGTATCGCACCAGGGGTTGACAGAAAAGGACAAGGTATAATACAGAAATAGGAGGCACACGCCTATTGTTGAAGAATGTCCATTGACACTGATTGTCCATTTGGTCCATTTGAGAGGATAAATGATCAAACAGCAACATGTCAGCAACTACCACAGTAACAAAAGGAACAGGTTCAAGGCTGCCAAAATTAACGGACTAAAAGTGGAATTATAAGGGAGATGGGGATATCTCTTGTAGGTGTAATATAAACGTTTATTAGGTTGAGCCATATGAAATGGTATGTTACATGCTCACTAAGAAACACTCTTCTCAAACGAACACACACTTCATAAAATGAGCTTGAATTTTCATGGCTGAAAGAATGGACCTCCTTGGCATTACAGTCCAGGGAAGGGGCGGTTAGCTCCAGAAGCATTGGCCATGGTTGTGCTCTTGGGGGCCCCATCCCAGGTGGCTGAATGACCCCAGGGCTTCCAGCCCACAGGGTCTATAAAGCGTCTCATCTCCACTGAGAAAATTGAGAGTCACCTTCTAACAACAACAACAGAAACACACATTTGGACAGGTTCTGCTTTAAGATTACATTGTACGATGTCAGAAAACGCATACGTGAAGCAGCCAGAGTAGCCGTGCTTTGTTTATGAGCTCGAGGTAAAAGCAGACGTCTGATGAGAAATTACTTCATCATACAGAAGGAACGAGAGGTGAGGGCAAGCATGAAAAAAAACAGCCACCATTTACTCTTAGGAAATGAAGAAAAGAAAAGGACGACCGTTTGTAGCCTAAAGTCTTTTGCCTGCCCTGGAGGCTAAATGCAGAAAATGCCTAAATTCAGTGGAGGACAATTTGGAATCCCAGGGCCACTCATTTTCCTTAATAAGCCTGAACTCAAGTCTGTGTCAACCCGCTCATTTAAAATTTCCATCCTGTTTGAATCAACTCACTGGTAGGTCTACAGGTTGGTTAAGCATTATTATTGCAAGACTGTAACCAGCGGCTCTCAACTCCCATCCGAAACCAAACAGGAGGAAAGAGGCTGGAATGGTAGCAGACGGTACTTAGATTAGGCAGAGGACTTCCCTGACAGAAAGTGTTTGACAGGGAAATTAGTCATCCAGTGAGACTATAAAGTCTTCTATCCTGAGTCAGTGCTATTCATTAAAAGTAAGGATCCCAGTAAAACACTCCCCCCCCCCCCCCCCCCC